TCATTTCAGTCATGTGACTGAGGCTTCTGGTGGAAACACTCAGCTCATGAAATGATTTTGATGTTCCCTTATCAGACACCATTGTGCTTTTGTAGTAGATGATTGAGGAGACGTTTGCTTTAAGTCAAGCAATAATAGGTTTTGATGGTCCCCATTGCTCACAACTAGGTGAGATGAACATCTAATCCATGAGTCCTTTGTGTTGGCTTGGTTGGAATGTTCATATAATGGCTGTTATTTTAAGAGAATTGAAGTATTAGAGTAAGGAAGATTTACTGCAACTGTACTAGGTGCTGGTGAAATTACATTTGGTGTACTGTGAGCAGTTTTGGCCCCCTTACTTAAGGAAAGATATTATTTCATTGAGGCAATTCAGAGAATGTTCATTCGGATGATCACTGGTATGGAGGGATTGTCTTAGGAGCAAAGATTAGACAGGATTTGACTCCTACTGATTGGAGTTTAGAAGAATTGAAACATATAGGACTCTTAAGGGGCTTGACAGTATAAATGCTGAGGCAATGTTCCCCTCATGGGAGAGACTAGTATTAGAAGGCTTAGGTTCAGAATAAAGGGGCACCAATTTAAGATTGAAATGAGAAGGAATTTCTTCACTCAGAGGGTTGTAAGTCTTTGGAACTCCTTACTGCAGAGAGCTGTGGGGGCAGCATCATGTGCATATTTAAGGCTTGGGATAGATAGCTTCTTGATCAGTAGGGGAATCAAGGGTTACAGGGAAAGGCCAGTAAAGTGGACGTGAGAAATACCAGGTCAACCATGATCCCATTGAACAGCAGAGCAGGCTCAAAGCCAAACACCTACTCCTGTTCCGTATGGTCTTATACAAGGAAGATCATATTCCACAAATAACCACTACAAATCAAAGAACCCTGAAGTTACCTTAACTTCACTTCCTCACACCCTGCCTCCCACAAGGACTGCACTCCATTCTCCCTGTTTCTCCATCTCTGTTGCATCTGTTCTGATGATGCCACTTTCCACTGGACTGCCTCCAACATGTCCCCCTTTTTTCCTCAACTGAGGATTCACTTCCACTGTTGTTAATGTGACCCAATTCTGACACTTCTGCCCTCACCAATCCCCTCCTTTCTGGAACAACAATAGGGTACCCCTTGTCCTCACTTTCCACCTTACTCCTCTCTGCAATCAAAGAATCATCCTCTACCATTTCCACCACCTCCAGCAGGATGCCACCTTCCCCTCCCCCCACTGTCAGCACTCTGTATGGATCGCTCCCTCCACAATATCCTGATACAGCCCTCCATCACTCCTAACATTTCCTCAGTCTTCTATGGCACCTTCCCATGCAATCACATAAAGTGTAACACTTGTCCATTCATCTTTTCCCTCCTCACCAATGCACCTTCCAGGTGAGGTAGCATTTTACTTGTACATCTTCCAATATAGTCTACTGTACTCACTGCTCACAATGTGGATTCCTTTACATTGATGAAACCAAAAGAAGACTGGATGGCTGCTTTACAGAACACCCTAACTCTATCCGTAAGAGTGACCCTAATCTTCTAGTTGCAATTCTGTCCTGGGCCTTCTACAAAGTTCCCATGAAGCTCATGCACACTTGAGGAACAACATCTTATTTTCCACCTCAGCAGTTTTTTGCCTCTAGGGTTCCAAATCCCTCTCCAGCTGATACATATTGGTGTCTTGTTGGCATTGCTCTCAGCAGAGCAGACCCATTTTCTCCTTTTCACAACTATCATTTACTCCTATATCACATGTCTATCCATCCTTCACTACCATTAGCACTCTCATTGTCTTTTGCTCTGGACACCCTCACCATCTGTTCCACTTATTCCTACTCCCCCTCTGTCAAAAGCATAATAACCATCATTAGCCAAAACCCTTTCAGTTGTGAAGAAGAGTCACATTGGACTCCGTTTCTCTCTCTGCCAGATCTGCTGAGATTCTCTAGGATTTTCTGCTTAGATTTAAGGTTTTTGTCCTTTAGTAATTGCTGGTCAGGACCTTCCAGAAATTATGATCAACCGGCATCACATGATCAGTGGCATCCATATTGTCTATTCAGCCGTGTCAATTTTTAAGAAAATTTAAGCAAACAGAAGCAGTTTCAAACAAGACAGTGTAGGATCTCTTTTTTCCTGCCTTCTGCATATAACACCAGGATAAAGAAATTGTGTGTGTATGTACCTCACATTTCACTTGTAGGATAACAGACTAAGATGCCTAATTAAAAGTTTCTGCTCTGAGTAGGCATTGAGATTTCCCTGCAACCATTATTATGAACTTAGCAATTGTTTTGCTTATTTTGAATTGTAAATACAGTAAAAAAAAGTGGAGGCCTCAGAACTGGAACATTCTATTTCTATCTTTAAGCTCCTAATATTAAAATTGTTGTTAAGGTATTGCCACTGGGTCATTGACTTAACACATTATCTCATTAGATTTGGAACTTTCTGATTTAATATTGCAGGCTGTTATCTGAGAGTTCAATTTTTGCAGTTCAAACATTTAAAAGTTAAATTAATACAACTTTTTTTAAGATTATTGTTACTTGTCACGTTATTCCTCTTTAGAAATAAAATGCCGTATTAGAAAATGCATGCAGAAAAACTGTCTTTGTGCAACCACCAGAATCAATGTGGTCTTGAAATATGGTCATTATTGTCAAGATCTGGAAAATCCACACTGTAGTGGATGACAGAAAGCGATACAAAGAAAAATAGAAATATTTCTCTAATCCAAATGCAACTTCAGTGGGGAATTTAGCATTATTATGGCATTTCAGGTGTTGGTCAGTCAGACTGCAACAAGAGCAACCTCTTTTTGAGAGAATGGTAGATTCAGTCCTCCTAAGCATCATTTCAAAATTGGAGAAAAATAGTTTCAATCTCTAAATGAAACTCTTTGAAACATCTTATCTGTAAATTCACTCATCCCAAATTGAGTCAAATCATTTCAAGTCAATAGGCCTACAACTCCTATGGCACTTTCATCTCTTTTACTAGGACTTTCTGTAGCTTGAGGCTGTTGTATAGGCTGCATAATGTTGCTCAGCACTGGACTGGTCATTGGTGATACCAATGGTTTTGCACTGATGAAGTTTTAAAACCATTACCTTTACCACAGTGTTTTTCGAAGTATTTTCCATTGTGGTCCCATTTTGGAGCTTGATAAAAGGTGTGATCTTAGACCTGAGTGAATGGAATGTTGGCAGGTGTTCAGACAGGTAACGACTCATTCTTAAGAATATTAATTTAAAGAAACAGAAAATTTACCAATAAGTAATGTACTGGAGAATATGATCAATAGCCGTCACAAAAGGAAAGCCAATGTTTATCTATAAAGCCATATCACAGCATTTAGAAAATTTATGGTAATTATAAAGTCCTCAAATAAAAAACAAGGAAGTGCAAGTCTCATCTAATGCATTAAGAGAAGCCAAGAAAGAATGACCACAAACCTGTTTATTGGGAAAATACCCCAGCAAATTGGAAGAGATAAAGAAATTAGGAATGGAGTTAAAAGTCAGCTGTCTCCTAACTCCTGAAAAGTCAAATTATACAAACTGAATGAAAATAACAGTTTCAATATCAATCGTGTCATAGATAAGTTTGACTTTGATTGTTAGCGTAAAAGACGAAATTCAGTCCGCTGCCTCTCCCGATTTCCACTTCCCTCAAACAAACACAATAGGCAAAAGGAGCCTTTATTTGCTCTCAATGCTGGGTGGTCTGTGCTAACCTAACCTTTTTTTCTGTTCCTTCTAAACGCTCTCCTCCCTGTCTACATTCGTTTTGTGTTCAAATCGAGACTTTGAACCAGCTAACCTCATAAATTGAATTTGTTTCCTTCCTTCGTCTTCATGTCCCGAAACCATCGGATTGATGTAAACTAATTTATAATTTATTTTCATCTTCCCTGTCGTGTTTCCTTAAGTATTCACTCTATTTCTAGAATTTATAACCACATGGCCGCAATAAACTAAGAATAAGAGATTAAGCACAAAAGGATCTGGACAGTTTGGGAAGACGGACTTCTCAGTTGCACCTAGCATATACATGTGGATTTTTGACAGAGAGGTAAACAGGGAAATAGATGCAGACGACAGGACACAACCCAGGCTGGGGATTTGTACGATTTCGTTCATCGAAGTAGGAGCAGTGAGGAAAGTTAGCAGGATCTTAGCAAGTGTAGCCAAAGCACTGCGAACTTTTATTTGGTCATATCAGGAGTACCCAGTGCAATTCTGGTGGCTGACTGGTAAGATGTTTGGGCTGTAAAGGACAACCAAGTTGATATGGAGCTACGAAGAGATGCCAAAGAGAGCTGGGATTATTCACTCTGAAGATTGGAAAATTTGGTGGAAGCATCATGCAAGTATTCAAGATTGAATCCTGATCATTTGTATTAGATTGCTGCAGACTGTAGAACTAGGGGAGGCCCACTTTGGAATAGACGTTGAGGAGTTTTGATTTTAATCACACGGTGGGTAAATAAAAATGTGAAATCGACTCCCCAAGCAGGCAGGCCGTGCAGGAAAACAAAACAGCACCGGAAAATCGGAGATAACAAGGTGTAGAGCTGGATGAACACAGCAGGCCAAGCAGCATCAGAGGAGCTCCTCTGATTCTCCAGCATCTGCAGTTCCTACTATCACCGGAAAATTGGAGGTGATTGACCGGCGATGGATTTGGGAATATAGAGTTTCTTTTTATCTCGTTCTGTGCTTAGTTATGTCTTTAAGCAGGCACTCAACTGTTAAAATAAACTGAACACGTTTTTCCTTCAAAGCCCTATTTTTTGAAAACAAACATTTCGTTTTAAGAAAGTGTATTTTAAATGTACGGCAGTAACCACCGTTTTCCCCGTTCTAACAAACCTCGGGGCAGAACGCACTCGAATCCGGATCTTCCGTACCACAAGCACCCAATTGCTCTGAGACAATCCCCTTTAAGCATTTTCAACCACCCCCCACCATTTCTCTCTCTCTCTCTCTTAAAGGCGTATGCATTGCTGGAGGAGGACTAGGGAGTTACCTCGAGAAGGCCGTTTGTCTGATGTGATTCTGTAATGCCTTCAGCGCCCATTCGCGACGCTGGCTGACAGGGAGCTCGGAGAGAGTGAGGGTTCTGCTTTGAAGGGTGCGCTCGCTCATCTCTGCTGTCCACCGCATCGCCTCAGTTCTGGCTGGGCGCCGCGGCAGGCAGCAGTGGTAGTCTCTCTTCTCCCCATATCCTGCATCCCAATGCCGGCCGCCTCGAGTAAAAGCGTTCCCCAGCAGCAACAGCGAGCGGGCTGTTCAGCCATGGCCGCCGGCGACTATTCCATCAATCTGACGGTGCAGCAAGTCTTGAGCCTGTGGGCACACGGCACCCTGCGGCATTTTACAGGTAAAGAGGGACACAGGGAAGGGACCGGGGGTGGGGCTGGAGTTGTTGGGGAGGATGTGTTGACCCTGGTTGTGGGGTTATTGGAGGTGGGAATGTACTGAAGTGTAGAGATTGCAGCTAGTGCTGGAGAGCCGGCTGGGGAAACTGAGGCTGCTTAAACTCCAGGCCGCGAAGCCAAGTGAAGACATGGGGAAAGGTTTCAATGAAATTCACAGCAACAAGAGGAGGGCTGGCCAGTTCCCCCAAATCCCCGGTTCTTTCAAAGCAGGCCGAGAGTTCCTTTACAGCCCGAGTTGCGAGCTGTGCAGTTTACAATATGTAGCAGTTGGTTGTAACAATTGTTTCTTTTTGTGTGACTTGGAACATTGAGGGCCGCAATGGGATCAAACCCGGAGGAAAACGAGCCTTTTGATGCATCGAAACCAACAGGCTTCGGAGGGAATGTTAGTTGAGGTTGGCCAGGTTAATTCGACATTTTTGGAATGGAGGCAATACATGTTCTTTTAATGTCTTTTTCACATAAGTTGGAGAAATAAAATGATGTTCACGCCCTCACATTAAAAGGGGCGGGCAAAAAATTCTCAACGTTTTAAACTAACTTTATCCGGTGTAAAAATGATTGGTGTTGAGCAATACTGAATAAAAAGTTAATTATATTATCACGGGGTAAGGAAATGAGACACTCCAACATGAATTATATATCGAGCTACCAATCTGCCAGTGGGATTGTTCTTTGTCCCTGGCAAGTGATAATATCACATCACATGCAATACTATTCAGATTGACTACTATAATGAAATGCCAGTTAATAAGCACACTGCGTAGTGCAAATGATTTAAGATGGGATAGACAAAGGCGCGGGGTGGGGGGCGGTGGAGAGAGAGGTGCTCTTGGTTATGAGGTATTTGAGGTGGGGTGTGTGTATATTTTGTTCTAAGAGTAATTGCTTACAATAACTTACAATGAAAGTTTACCTTGAACTTTGTTTTAGACTTTCATTTTTGAAGATGAAGAAGGGAATGGGGGTTGGTGTGAAAATCAACTTTACTTTCAGTTCAAAGAAAGGAACAATTTTGATATAGAGCCATAGAGAGATATAGCACAGAAACAGACCCTTAGGTCCAACTCATCCATGCTGACCAGATATCCTATGTAAACCTAGTCCCATCAGCATTTCCAAAGTGCGATGTATGCTGGTACAGTGAGTAAATTTAAGGAGGCGGTAGACAGATTTTTAATTGGTAATGGGTTGAAGGATTATAGAGAGAAGGCAGGAAAATGGGGGTGAGGAGCCTATCTTCTACGATCAAATGGTGGAGCAGACTTCGATGGGCCAAATGGCCTACATCTGCCCCTGTATATTATGAAATATTTGGCCTATATTCCTCTAAACCCCTCCTAATCATATACCAATCCACATGCCTTTTACGTACATTCCATTCTCATGTAAAATGAAATCCCCCAGATTGGTTATTTATGGTAAATAAGGGAGAAATAAACCCTTCATTGTGAATGTGAGACAACAACTGGAGTATTGTGTGTGGATTTGGTCACCTTACCTAGGAAACTACATACGTACCACAGTGGCAGTGTAACACGACTAATTCCTGGAATGGTGGGATTTTGCCATGAGGAGTAACAACATTGGCTTGAAGGTATGGGACAGAGGGTAGAGAGCCTGGAATTGTGTGACCAGCAGTGTGCTGCAAGGATTGGTGCTGGACCCACTTTTTTGACATTTATATAAATGATTTTGTTGTGAACATAGGAGGTATGGGTAGTAAGTTTGCAGATGATGCCAAATTTGGTGGCATAGTGGATGGTGAAGAAGGTCATCTCAGTACAATGGGACCTTGATCTGATTGGCCAAGGAGTGGCACATGGAGTCTAATTTAGATAAATGTGAGGTGTTGCATTTTGGTAAGACAAACCAGGGCAGGACTTATACCCTTAATGATAGGGACCTAAGGAATGTTGCTGAACAAAGAGACCTTGGGGTGCAGGTTCATAGTGTCATGAAGGTGGTGTCGCAGGTTGACAGGGTAGTGAAGAAGGCATTTGGTACATTTGCCTTTGTTCGTCAGTGTCTTGAGTATAGGAGTTGGGATGTCATGTTGTGGCTATACAGGACATTTGATTAGGCCACTTTTGGAATTTTGTGTTCAGTTCTGGTGTCCCTGCTATAGGAAGGATGTTGTGAAACTTGATAGGTTTCAGAAAAGATTTACAAGGATGTCGTCAGGATTGGCGGGCTTGAGCAATAGGGAGAGGCTGAATAGGCTGGGGCTATTTTCCCTGGATAGTCTGAGGCTGAAAGGTGACCCTAGCGGTTTATAGAATCATGAGGGCCATGGATAGGGTAAATAGACAAGGTATTTTCCCTGGAGTGGGGGGAATCTAAAGTTTGAATGTGTTGGTTTAAGGTGAGAGGGGAAAGATTTAAAAGGGGCAACCTTTTCAAGCAGAGGGTGGTGCGTGTATGGAACGAGCTGCCAGAGGAAGTGGTGGAGGTTGGTACAATTACAACATTTAAAAGACATCTGAATGATTATATGAATAGGGAGGGTGTAGAGGGCTAGGATGCTAGATTAATTCTAGAATGCCTGGTTGGCATTGACAGGTTGATCTCTTTCTGTGCTGTACAACTCTGATTCAGTGAGTGATTGGCCAGATTGTGCCTATATTTTCTAAAGTTCAGAAGAGGTGAGAAATGATCTCATTCTGAAGTATTCAAAATTCTCAAATTGCTCTAGAATAGGTGCAGAAAGATTCTGGTTGGGGAAAATAGAACAGGCTGGGATGGGGGAACACTGTTTTAGAATAAGAGGCAATTTCAGACTAAAACAAGGAGACATTTCTTCACTTTGAGGATGGTGAATCTTTGGAATTCTTTATCCTGGCAGATATAGGAGTTCAATCATTTAGAATATTTATGACCAACTTCAATGTCTTTTTAATACAAAATATATGGGGTAAGTGCAGGAGAACAGTGTGGTAAAATATCAGTCATAATTATAACAAGTGGCAGAGCAGACTTTAGGGACTGAATGGCCTACTCCTGCTTCCAAGTCCTGTGTGATCTCTGCACATTTACATGGTACATGTAAGTATACTTTCATGTGTTATGGATATGTACATTATGCTTTGCACTAAGATGTTGTGAATTGTTTCTAGTTAGTCAGCAATTGATATTGGAGAATGTCAGAGCAATGTACAGCCATCCAGGACAAAACAATCCACTTGATCAGCACCCCGTGCTCCTCTGTGAATATTTACTGCTTCTGTTACTGACACATAGTGGCAGCAGGGTGCATCATCTACAGGATGCACAGTGATAATTCATTATGGTTCCTTTGTTTGCATCTTTCAAACCCGTGACCTTTACTACCAAAGACAAGGACAGTGGATACATGGGAACATCACCACCATTGTTTCCCTCTTAAACCCCGCACAATCCTGACTTTAAACCCAGAAGCAAAACAATAATATAAAAAAAAGTCCTCTTTATCTTACTGTGGATGTACTTACACCCAATGGACTGCAGCGGTTCAAGAAGGTAACTTCCCACCACCTTCTCCAGGGCAATTGAGGACTGGCAGTAAATGATAGCCTCTCCAGAAAAGCCCACATCCTGTGAACAATTTTACGATCGTAGGCATGATATGGGCAGCCGTGCCTTCAGCAGCCTCTGCCTAAGGTCTGGAAATCCCTCCTTATGCCCCTGTCTCTCCCCGAAACCTTTTGCCAAGATTTTGGCCACTTCCTATCCTAATATATAATCCTGTTTGTGCATAGGTGTCAAGTTTTGTTTGATAAGTTTTTGCTTCTCTTTGAAGATCCATGGGATCCATTTACTAAGTTCGAGATCATTGTTCCAAAATATGGGAGTAGAAGTAAAAAAAAACCTCAGAAGACAAAACGTATTGCTGCTTTGTAAAATAGTGCAGAATTTGTTCTATCTTCAAATCTTTGTTTGTTTTCTTTGCCAATACCTTGACGAACATCCTGAATTTGATCTCTGGGTACATTCCGCATGATTAAACCAGACCTATTCGTAGCGAGTTATTTTACTGACAGGGAATACTGCACCTTCCATAGCATAAATAGAATGCACGTTGGCAAAAACTACAACTGCATAATTTGTGGGGGAGGGGTTGTACTAAATAGATATTTTTAAAATGACGAGAAGATACAGTCAAATCCTCATTGTTTTAAAGCAGCTTAATCCCACTTGTTATACTGATTTGTACCAGCTTTATTGTGCAGGATTTTATTTGATAAATTGCGGCTTGTTTTGTTTCCACATAATGCCTTGATAGGACCATCACAACATTGTGCTTTCCCGTTGTACAATTAAGCTACTCACAGCCCTAGTGCCGATACCCCATTAGATTTCATCAAAAACAAGTGTGTTTTTGTTGATTTCGATACTTAATACAGCTCCCCTTTGAGAACACCCATTTCTTTTTAAAGTACTGCTATGCGTAAAAGATTATTTAAGACTATTTAAACTAAAGATCCATAGTTCAATGACTTCATGTGCTTTGAACCCTTTGTTCTCAAGCTTAACAATTTCTCTTAAAAGGGCTGCATCAAAGATAGATATTATAGACTAATTTTTATTCTTCAACTTGCATTTATAGTGTTTTTAATGTAGAAAAATATTCCAAAGTGCTCAACTGAGACATCGTCAAAGAAATAGAGACTGAGCAAAATGAAATATTGAGGGTAACCAGTAGCTTGTGTTCCATTTTAGTTTTGATTGAAATTTATGCCAGGAGCTGAAATGTGACTCTGACTGTTGTGAAAGACCAGATCATAGCTTAACCATTTTTAAAAAACTGTTTTATTTTGCTCCTGTTTGCAGTCAGGTAAGGTAACTGGCTATATATATATATGTGTGTGAATCTGTTAGGCAAAAGTAGTAGGATTTTTTTTTTAACAACAAGCAGGAGAGAACATTGTAACTTTCTTGTGTCCATAAGTTGTTGCATTGATGT